TATTTAACAATCTCCAACCCAAGGTCAACTCAGGCATAATTTTTTGCCTCCTACATTTTGGTTGCATTTTCATAAATGTTTATACTATAAATTTTATACTTTTACTCTTATTAATCCTTCTATTAAAAATTAGTAAATTAGCTTAAATTCATTTTTCTAGGATAAAAATTATAAATTAAAGTTTTGTTTTTTGTATGCATACTTGAGTCAAGTACATCATATTTTGGAGACCACTTCTATGGGGAAATAGAGATGAAATAAAGATTTCATTTTGGTCTATTTAAAAAGACACAGGATAAAAGAAAACAAATAAGTTTGTACGTATCTTTTGGCTCCTTCTTCCTTAAACAGTATGGTGGCTTTTTTGGATAATACTTAATTTAATAACCTCCAAAGTGGAAAAGGAAGCACTCAAAGCACTACAGAATTTACAATTTATCTTTTCTAGAATATAATTCATACTGTATTTTTTAGAATGTTTAATTAAAATCATGGACTTGTATATTAACCTAACCCTTTATTTACCCACTGCACTGAGCTAAATATAATTCCCTAAGAAACTTCCATTCAATCTTGTGTCTTTGCCAAAGGTAGAGAGAAAGCATAACTCCCCAACTCTTCCTTCAGAATCCATTTAGTACCAGAAAATTTTTCTTCCCCGAACATGCTGCCACTCTAGAGTTGGCCACTACAACATGTCTGTGAAGCTGCAGGTCAGTGTTCTGACCATTGTACACACTTGATCTGAATTCTTTCGCTCATCATAGGATAAAAAGTTCTTAATGCCTCAACTTCATCTGTATGGACTTACCTACCTATACCGCACATCATGATTCCTTTCCTCTAGCCTGGTCTCTTCCATGTCTTCCAAACTTATTTTGTACTTTCTTGCCTATGCCTTGTCTTCTATAAGTCTTTCTCCTCCAACTTCCTATAAACCTAACTAAATCCTTTCCTAACTATCTTTCCACAGAGAAGCCTTCACTAGGTACCTCAATCCATAATTCTTTCTCCTACAGTACTGAAAATCTGTACCACTCCATTCTTCTGGTACTTATCACATAGAAGAAAAGGCCTTGCATTATTAAGTGTTGACATCTTACTTCCTACGTAGTTAAAAGCTTTTTCAATCAGAGTCAGAAAAGGAAAAGTATACCAGAGAAGACATATTCTCAATAATAAATAACTTTTTAAATCAAAATAGAGCTTTACAGAAATCTGTGTAAGTAGAAGCACTATTCAGTATCTGTCTTATTTTGAATGAAATGTAGATTCCAGAATAAAATTATAAAATACCACATGTCAAATTCATAAGCTATTGCAGCAAATCAAAGCAAAATTATAAAAGGCATTTGATTTAGTTAATTTTATAAAAACAAAGCCTTTAAAATACAATCAAATCTTCACGATACTTTGAAATGAGAATGATCCTGATATCTTTTATTATTAAACTTTCATTATCTTATAGCAAAGCACTTCAAAAGTGGTAAAATTTGAAGATGTTATGCAGTTTTTTACAAAAAGACAGTTCTCCAAAATTTGCTCTTCCTTTCTGTGGTCAAGTTCCTAAGGAGTATTTACCTGATGTTTTTGAAAAGTTAAACATTCTGAGTTTGCCCATATAAAGAGAGTATCATAACAATGAAAAAGTCACTGCTTTTCAAAAGAAAGTTCTTAAGCAGAAAATCGTTTAAAGTGGATGTTTGGACATATTTGCATCTTTACATGATTGTTGTTGCCAAAAATTGATGTCACCTACAGTGCTTGTATATGCTATGGAAAAACTTAAACTAGAATTTTCTGTTTAAAAAAAAATCCATCTGGAACATTTTAATGAGTTTTCAATTTATTTAGTAAAAAATGTTTAGTATTCAAGAAAACAATGATTGATTTCAGAAACCATAGGAATTTAGTGGTCAAATTGCAACAGAACTGTAAATTTGGTGGAAGGCATTTAAAACTGAGTATCAAAATTAAGAAAATAAAAATTTTCTATTTGGATCTACCAAAGGTATCTTTTTCACCTATGACAAAACCAAGTATCAAAGTAAACTGAATTTAAAAATCAGACTTACTGTATGACTGTGAAAACTTTTCAAAAATAAAGCATTGTCATATTAGTGTCATTAAAGTCTTATAGTGTTAAAATACTTTACTTTTACCCTTTTAAAATATATTTTTATGTTTTATATTATATATAGTATTAGTACATGTACATAAATAACAAATATACCTATATTGTGGATATGCGCTCAAACTTAAACAAAATCTGGATGGGTATGATATCATGGGCATGGGGATTCCTAGTTTTAGGTATTGCTTGTTTTTATATTTATGTTTGGAATCAAATATAAAACTCATCTTCTTCTAGTGATCCTAATGTTATGTCAGTTTTCTTTTAACATCTCCTGATCTGCTGCTTCCTTGCCATTTCTACAACTTACACTCAGTCTAGGCCTTCATCTATCACTCAGATAAGCACACTAAAGTTCTCCCCCCACCCCCTGCAATAAGGCAGTCTTGAAAAGGTTTTAAAATGTTAAGGCCATACAGCATTTAAGACAGTAGTATAAATAGAAACACTTCTTTTCACCTGTTCTTTTGACATATACACTACTGCAAACACATGGCTGTATCGTTTCATATTGTAGATGAAGGAATGCTGGAAAGAACGCTGGGCTGAGAGTAAGATTTAGGCCCTTGTTCTGCTTCTATAAACCTCAACCACTGAAGCCTAATTTTTTGATCTATAAAATAAGGGATTATTGATTAAACAATTTTTAAGGTGATTCCCATTTTCAAAATTATAAAAATATATTAATGCCTATAAATTACATGTATCTGATTTTTAAAAAATAACTAGAATCATGTACTTAGTGAACTATTTAAGATACCTCTTTCAGGGCTTTTGAAAAAATGAACACTTAAATATGAGTAATTACTCC